AAAAAATCAGAAAACACGGACAAGCCCAACTGGAAAACACTGGCAGTGAACTTCAAACAACTTTAGACAACTTTGGAATGTAAAATCTGATTTAAATTTAACCTACGGCCACAATTTTTATATCCGTAGAAATTTACCTTAGTCAAATATATATACACTGACCTTGTAAAGATAGGAAAACGTTGTCACTTTTACTTTCAAACTTACATTCCTTTACGAAACCACAGCAGGTATGTGCTGTGTCTTAAATCAACTTTGATCAACCTCTGAACTTTACACATCAAGCAATTTAACCTCAGTTCCTAAGAACTGATGATAATGCTTTTTATTTCGCGATTTCAAATTTCGTCAATCTTTTTATTTTACTTTAAGTGACGCTTGTAGATCCATCAAAAATCCATCGAAAATTTATTTTTTCAGCTATTTTGTCTTGTCTCCTGTTCTCTTGTCATTGCGAGGGCTCGTGCTAGGATGGATTTTTGGAGTAATATAAAGTTTAATATCTGTCTGGAATTCGACAAGTAAATAGCAACCGGTCAATCGCTGACCTCAGAGCAGAGGAGGAATATTTGAGATATTTTTCAAACAGCCTGTATGGGAAAAGAGTTGACCAAAGTGCTAGTTGCTAACCTGTCGTATTTCCAAGTGTTGTTGACTTCTGACCTGTCTTTTGTGTTGTATTTTAAGGTGAGACCCCAGTTTTGAGGATGGTCATTTTTGCCCTTTTGTGGGGAATTCTGTTGGTTCAAATTTCAAGAGCTCAAGACGAAAATTCCGGCGAAAGTGAGCCGATCAGTTTTGACAACTTCTGCACCCACTTCGATGAACTTCGCTCCACAGGTTCTATGACTAACGTCCTGAGAGATCTCGAGAGCATTCGTGAGCAGCTTCTAGCAAACGGTGTTGTACCTGAAAGTGGAGCCGTCGATGCCGTTGAGGAAGTATGCCGTGATCCCTCAAAGTTTTTTGACACAGAATGCTTGTACAGAAACCGCTACCTGATGACCATACCAAATTCTGATTTCTTACGCCTTCACGATGCCACATTACGAGGATTTTATGTAGATCTTTTCCTGTTACACCCTGTGTTTCGAAGCTGTCTGCCCACTCTGAACAAAGACGTGAAAAGCAACGATGTAAAAGGAAGGCTGGCGAAAGGATTAGCAGGGGACAGGCCACAAGATTTTGCTGCCCTTTTTGATAAGAGAAACGGAAGATTCCTCAGGAAAGAGATAACAAATTCGTGTGAAGAAAAAGACGGCGACGAAATATTCTGTGCATCTTTACCTGACATTGTTAAACTGGTTGATACCTTCGAAAGAGTTCGGAGGGAGAGCAGAACAGGTGTCAAGTGGAATGCCTTTCGCTTGCACTTTGTGATGTTAAAGCATAACAACCCAGACGAATTCCAGCAAGTATACCCCACAACGACTGAAGAGCTCAATAACCTCCTTGTGAAGAACTTAGAACAAATCTTTAAATACGTTGGCAAGGGCCAGTTTGCTGAATTCTCAGAAATGATGTCTTTTGTACCAGATTTAGAGACCATTAAATCGGGTTGCGAAACGTCATGGAACCTTCCAAGCAACACAAAAAAGAATGCCTGCATGTTCTGGAAAGCCATCATTCAGGTAAGCGCTTATATTCAATCAACAAAACCTCCAGCGAGCGGGCAGGTCAAGAAGATACTGAATACCAGGATTGATTATCCCACCTTTTTACGTCTTACGGAAATGGATAGAATTCTAGAAGTTGTCCAAAATCAAGAGACTGCGATCACCGAACTTGTCGAATGGCTGAACAGGGAGCTGACCAAGACAGTCAACGAGAGATTCAAAGGTCTCCGTACTTATTTCGAAAAGGTGGAATCTTTCAACAGAGAGAAAGCTGGTGCTGACATTGGCTATATAAACGGCCGGTTGTCCAAGTACACCAACAATATCAACTCACTGAGTACTACGCTTGGAGGCAAACTCAATAAAATTATAGAACTCGCTATTGCAGCAGTTTCTTTGGAAATCGCCGAGGACACCATCCAGGTAGGATTGGCAGCCGCTGTTCTAATGAACCCACTTGAAAAGCTATTTGGTGGCTCGAGTGCTGGAGATTTCATAGATCGTTCAGCGAAATTGGCGTCAACACTGACTAGAGTAGGAGAACTGGTCCGGATGTCGAAAACGTTTGGTGAACTCAAGGACAAGACAATAAGCATTTCAAGCAGGTTTAAAGAGAACAGCGAGTTTCTGGAAAATATACGAGTCTTGATTACCAGTGAAGGACAAGATAAGTCGACGACCGATT